GTTTGCCCTGGGCTTTGTTTCCAGACACCTGCCTGACCCCGCATAGGCAGCGGGTCCTTTCCGCTCCTGCAATCCCCGAGCCTGGCTTTGTGCCCGGGGTTCCCGGCGGTGCTGAGAAGCTGGCGGGGGGTTTTTCCCGGAGGAAGGCGCTGATGGCACAGCAGCGGCTGTGGCTGAGCCGGAGCGGGGCAGGGTGTGCCCCGTTAAGCAAGCTTGTACCTATCAGCAAGCATTTTGCCATCACAGAGCCTTGTCTCCACCAAACTCTCCGAGCCTGGCAGCTGGAAGGACCAGCAGTACCTTACACTTGTGAAAACAATGGTTTTGTTCCTTTTTCTGTTGGTTTTGGTTTGTTTGTTTGTTTGTTTTGGGTCAGTGCCGCTAAACCTTAACCTTAGTGGCTTGAAAGGGGCAGAAGTGGCTCCCTGAAATGCAGGAGGCTGGTTTGCACCAGCACACACCCATTCAGGAGCTCCTATCACTCTCCTTCCCACAGCAATGGATCTGGGGTTCTTTTGCCTTCTCCTTCTCGGCTTCCCGTGTGCTGGAAGGATTTGTTTAATACTGCGTGCTAGGAATATGAACTATGTGAAAAATTTTGGGATAGGCTGGGTTGGGTTAAAAGCTGTACACCAAAGAAACTCTGGGGACACGTGAGTGTTATGGTTTTGCTACCAGGAAATCCAGGGGCTGGCAGTGATTTGTGTCTGTGCTTGTGTGTCTCCAGTAGTGACTTTGGATTGTGTTCTTTATTTAAGTGCTGGAGTGTCTTGTATATACAGAAACAGGAAAGAGAAGAGTGAGAGAGTATTGGGTAACACTAGTGGAAGTGATCAGAAACTCCCTGGAGAAAAACAGAACCTTCTGATGTGTGAAATAAGGGGAACTGTTTGGAGGAATGATGACTGTAGTTAAATATTTACTTTATGACATCAACACGCTGCCGTTCAGAGGTACTTGACGAACATGTAACTTAGAAGCTGGGATGACTCTAATGCTTTTTAGCTGGTGGAACTCTCAACAGAAAATTCTATATTCTGATTGTGTAGGTGCTTGTAACACAGTGGAGAACTAAGATAAGAATATTTTAGAAGAAAACAGTATAGATTGTTTATTATCTAGATAATACCAAGGAGATAAGAATACTTGGCTGCTACTTGTTGGAAGGCAGGAGAAAATAGCATTACGTTGTAAAGGGCCTTACAGCTTGATCCCGTGTCCCTTTGCTCAACCCTCATGCTGAGTTCCTACCTGAGTGTCTCAGAGGGTGGAGCCAGCTGTGAAATAGCTGCTGACAGCTCCAGTACAAGGGCATGAATGTACAAGGGCTCTGTGGTGCATTTGAGTGGAAGTAAAACACCTGCATGCCAATGTGGGAACTTGTTTTGTGTGGCAACAACAGCTTTGTGTGAGGAAACTCTGCTGTACAAGTAGCAGGTAATCTCCATTGTGTTCTGGCAGCTTTGTCTATCACTGTTAATAGAGGGGGGATGAGATTTTTGGAATTGCTCATGTATGCCTTGCAGGGAGTGGATGTGAATCCTTCCCCTGGCCCTGCCCCTATCAGAGGAGAAGGCTCCAGGTGTTAAAGACTGAGACTGATGGATCAGCCCCATGCAACCTCTCTGCTGGCTCTCACCCCTGCTCTGAAGGTGGAGGAGCGATGCAGCAGCAGAACTCTGCTGGGAGAGGCCCTCAGAGCTTTAACACTCACCAGTGGTTACCCAAACGCTCCTGACTGTGCAGCTTTTAGCAAAAAAATTATGTCTTCTGCCTGTGTGTGCATGGGTGCTTGTGGAGGTTTTTGAAAACCAGCATAGCTTATTTATTACTGAGATGTACCCAAAAAAAAAAAAAAAAAAAGAAAGAAGTTGTTATACATTGGTTAAACAGGACAGTTCACATTGGTTAAACAAGACAGTGCAGTCTTTTGCCTTGGCAGAGATTTTAACTTTCTCCTGTGTGTCCCTCTGAGCTCAGACTGAGTTTCCAGCTCTGTGATTTTGGCAGTGAATCCTCACTCAGGGTTGGCTGTGCAGGTCAATGAATGTGTGAGAACTTATGCAGTAGGTAATGGCTAGAAGCGTGCCTGAGCTCTGGTTTGCTGTGAGATCATAGAAAAGGAAATGACAAGTAAAAAGCAGTGCTGAGGTTAAATAGAATATTTCCCGTGTATATGCAGTTTTTAGCATGGCAGAGCAGTAAGTACCTTTTGCATATAACTTGCTATTTGTGAAGTATTTTTTCAGGTAAAATAGCTTTGATTAGCAAGCTGTGTAACGAAGATGCTCAGAAGGATGGAGCCATCAATTAAGATATTACTTTCATCAACATTTTCAGATAAATACTAGTATACAGTATAATAGATACATAATTAAAAATATTTGGAGAGGTGGAAAAATAGGAAATTGATTTACATCACTTGCTTTTAACATTGGGTAAATATACAATTAATATTTCTAAAATATTTGCCATACTAGGTACTACATTTACTTACCTGTATTTTAGAACTTCGCTTGGTTGGTAAAATATTGTTGGAGAAATTAAATATGGTGCTGTTGAATTGAACCAGGACTGTGTATCCCTCACAAAAGGAAGATGGTACCAATCTATGTTGATGCACTGATCATTTGATTTTGAATATTCTGATTATTTTGCTGCAAATAAATAGTGGTGTATTCATTTTTACTACTCAGGTATTCATTTCAGCATAGCAAAGAATAATATGCTTTACTCTTTTTTGATGAAGAGGACTTTGGATGTAAATAGGTCCTATCATAATTCAAGTAATAAGTTTCTTACTGTTCAGTTTCTCATGCAGTTTTTATCAGTTGATCTGATAATGAAAAAACCTAAATGTGTAATTAAGAATCACAAATCCTCTTATCAAGGATATGTGGAATTGTGTGTATCTGATCTGTTCTTTCCAGTGGTTTATTATTTGATATCCTGAATCGCACGGTATAGATTTGTCCTTTACGCAAAAATACTTTAAGTTCTTATTTTTGTTAACTAAATGTCTGTCTGGGCAGCTTGATTTGGGAGTAATGACTTTTTTCTAGAGCTAATTGAATGTAACAGATTTTAACTATAAATTTTCTACAGTTAACATCAAAGGGCTTTGACTGTCATATTTAGGAATAAGCATGTCAAGAATCAAGTGAACCATATCAGTATCTTGGAGAAATTTGGTATCCCATTTCAACAGTACATGCAGGAGGGAAAGGTTTTCCTAGATCAGGGCATATCTGAAAAAACTTCTTTTTTGGGTACTCCCTGGTGTCCTTTACAACTTCCTGTAGAAATGCCTGGTTTTTCAGTTCAATTGGTTGATCTAATAAAAGATAGACTAAGTATATATATATATATGTATAAACTTATACACAATAAGTTATTATATATTAACTTGTTATATATAGTAAAAGATATATAATTTATTCTATATATTATATATAATATATCCTGTATATAATATATAAAACAGTTATAAACTATATGTAGTTTATTATATATAGCATATATAATAAAAGATATAATAAGTAGTATATGAGATATGAGTATATCTAATAAAATATATAATAAGTTTTATATATATATATGATCTTTGACAAATCTATCATCAAGTAAATCTTTATTGGAACCAGCATTACTTTTTTAATGATGTTATAGTAGTATTTTTAAATATGCCTCAAGTTCAGATACACAAATAATTTCATTTTTAGCTATTGCTTCATCCCCACAAGACATGATAGAATCCTTTTAAGTGTTCATCATGAGCTTCTTTACGATTAAAAATTGAATTTAGCTGATTAACTTCTGCTGAAGTTGTTGCTTTTCTCCTGCAGAAGACTGCTAGTGATTTTCCAATTGAAAAAGTAAAATTCTGGCACAAATATCCTATGGCAGTGTAAGGGGAAAAGCAACAACCATGGCAAAAAGTAGGGTTTTAGTAGTAAAATTTATAGTATTTTAGGGGCAGGTTCATGTCAATGTTAGTTGTTAAGTTTCAGAATGAAACCTAAGTTTCAGGCATGGTTTTTGAAAAATATTTTAGGATAGGAAAGCATGCACATAATTTCAGTATTTGTTTATTATCCACTAGGTTGTGAGATAATTTGTATTGGTCAGAAATAATCATAAACACTCGTAATAACACATAAATAACAAAAGTAATTATACATTCAAATAATAAAGTTGGCTCCTGGCATAATATTCTAAC